GCAAGTTTCACCCTGTTATCTGCTTTTACTCACGAAGAAAAATATTAAGTGGAAGCGCAAATGTGAGACCTTTAATGCGTGGCTTGCCTTTTAAATGATACTTTTGGAACTTCGATTCATTTGGAAAAAGAATGGCTTGTTTTGGTAGGCGGGGTGCTCCTAATAACTACTTTTCCACACAACAACCCACTGCATAAACTTACCAGAGATTTCAACCTTGTATTATTGACATTGTCAGTGTCAATAACTGCAATTAACTGAGCCACGTGAACTTCACTCATTCCTTAACTTTTCTTTCCTTGGCAACTGAGCCGAACGTCAAATATTTTGAAGAGAGAATCACTCTGTAAATCATAACTAAAAGAAAAGAAGACCTCAGAATTAAATCTTGACTAGATAAAAACGTATGACTTATATTCTGAGTTATTAATAAGTTTCTGTATATATTGTTTTCTGAAGAGCTCATAGTCTAAATTTCGTCAAATTCAATTTCGTTGCGCAAAATGAGTCGAACTGAACGTTGTGTATCTCTTTATCTCGTTTAATATAGTTTTTAAATATATAGGTACGCGTACGCGATGGTAATAAAATAATATTTTACATGCCACATTTTAAGTACTTTCTATTTCTTGTTGAAATAAATAAAAAACAACAATCATTGTATACCCACTAAATTGTATCTACCTATGTTTTACCTATCGATTACTTTGCCTAAATGACGTGTGGTAAATAGATTACGTCCGATACTTGCACAAATGCAAGTTAAATTAGAATAATGTTCAAATGGTTAGCAAATCAGGCTTGGGTAACTTTATCAAAGGAATACCATGAAAATTAGTTCACCCTTATCCTGAATGAGAAGAGGGCAATTTATCCTCCGTGGTTTCATAAAGTGAACGGAGCAGGACCTAAGCTGTCGAGAATCGAGAATTTCATGACATAATTTACAAAAAGTTAAGTTTCACTTCCAGACAAGGTAAATAGTTGTTCTATTCATTATAAGGAGTTTAGACTTATAAGTGGATTAATGATTAAAGAATGGGCCCGATGTGTCCTTGGTATGCTTTATTTACAATTATTAAAAATTAATACGAACCACAAAATTACTTTCTAGGCACCTGAGCAAGAATACGAATTTGCCGTGCTTATGACTGAGATCGCATTTTCGCGCATATTATGAACTTTTTTATATTTACCCAGAACACTCTAGATTCTTTATTCATAAGCACAAAGCAAATAAATACAACAAACCCTTGCAGTGTTGCAGTAATGCAAAAAATGAACGAGAGTACGGTATTACTGCTAACAGTAACCCCTAAGCCAAAAATCCAAGACATTCCTAACAGAAAGAATAAAAGTATGGCAAACGAAACTTGAAGTCTTATTTCATTACGATCTGCTCCATACCTTTCTACCTTGATGTTACAAACGTTGTGAAGTATCTTGATAATTACAAACAGATTGATCAACACAAATATTAGAATTGGCACAGCCACCGTGTAATATAGGTATATTCCATCAGGATAACACATTCCGTCTCCATTCTTATTGTAGCTGTCAGGAAAAGTTGTTATGCACACCAGTACAAGTATCAGAGGCATGCACCATCCAATAATCAAGCTTTTTAAAATTAAGCAGCGAATCGTTTGTTCATAAACTAAAACAAATCTCCTGTATTGCAAAATGGCAACAATCAGCATCCATCCGAAGCTTGCAATGATAGTGTAATGCAGACTGGCACCGACGATTCTGCAAGCGGTTGCGTTGTCTCTCACTAAATCCGAAACGAAGAACAAAATCATTTCAGCCGCCAATGCTGCGGAGAAATTCAGCATAATTATATTTCGCTTCCGTTTACGCCAACTTTTGTAAAATATCCCGATTAAAAAAATTCCCGAGAGTCCAGTTAACGAGAGAGCGCATCCAATGGAAGTGATAATATTAAGAGCTAAGTGGACCTGGGGTGTTTGCTGTACTTGAAAATTTCTCGTTGCTACCAGGACAGAGAAATGCGTTAAATGATTTGCACGGCATACCACGTACGTGGGTTTTCCACTTTTTACCGTCGGCATACTGTCAACTTTCCAATTACCGCGTATATTCTTATGCTGGTTTTTGAGACCATAATTCCAATGAGCGCATCTTGGGCTGGTGATGTTAAGGTCTGACTTGAAAATTAGAATGAATGGGTTCATTAGTTGACACTTTAACGATGGTATCACTACACCTGCGACAATCGTTGTGCTAATCTCCTTTCCTTTGCTTGGATCATTGAACAACGCGTCATTGTAAAAAAAGGAAATGATTACTGTAACTGATTCATATTTGTGGGCATGTTGACAGCGAAGTATTTCATCAGTGGGCAACAACACAGCGGCTTCTACTTCCCCCAAGTCATCGATTGACGAGTTGTATGGGGTAATTGTGTAATAATCGGAGAAGTTATTCACAGAAGCGTTGGAAAGCTTATAAAGGGCAACGCCTTGTATATTTGATACTGATAGATCACTAATGTGAACGATAATCTTATTTGATTTAATAATATGTTCCTCTTCCTCCAATATTGCATCTTCTAAAATTGTGTCAAGAGCATTCAACGCAATATCGGTCGAATTTAATTGTTCCTGAGCTTGATTCATGACACCCCTCTCAAAGGACATGATGTTACTCACAATATCTACAACTCTTTTGCTATCAATTTCTGAGTGGCGGCTTAGTTTTTGAATTAGTTCACTAACAAAATGTACGTCGACTATTTTAATCTGTTTGGCACGGTTAGTTATGTTCACCAAGTTTGCTATAACTTTATTTGGCTGATAAATTTTTGAAGATAGCATTGAATGTAACGTCAGAGTGGTATTGCTAACATTCTCGTTGACACATTCGCCAGTGACATTTGCCCATCGCGCACCGAATGTAAAATCTCCTTCACATGTTCGGGTCACTGGTAGAGAATCTGCACGTAAGCATAGTTCGTTTGGCAATGCTGTTACACCTGCTGCAGATTCTGGCCAAGTCAATGTACCATTTCTTGAAACGGTCGTACTTTCAAGACAAACTTCACATCGTAAAAAAGATAAAATTTCCTGGACGGCAGATGGTAGCTCTTTAGGAATTTCTTTTAACATATGCAATAGTGTGTCGTATTCTTCATGACCAGATAAATAATTTTTTATGGTACTGATGTGTAAAAGCAGATTTAAATTGTGCGTTTCCTCGAAAAAGTGAGTAATTCTCATGGGTCTAACGACGTTCACAAAACCCAATGACGCTAATTTATATTTCATCAAATGCGCTATGTCTACATGCACCTCGTTAATATAGGGATCAACGCTAGGTGATATGGGTATTTTCACCAAAACTGAATACTCGTGATTGTGAGAGCCGTCGTTATTGTACGCCAGTATTTTGTTGCTAAATACGCGAGTTAAGTTGGGGCGTTGAACGGATTCGCACCAGTAATATGCTGGGTAGTGGTGATACACCTCCATGGTGGTGATATAACTTGCATCTCGTATTTTGGTATCAAAAATGTTAGCCTTGATTCGTTTCTTCATGTTTGACGTTTCGTAGTCCGTAAAACATACGAACGCGTATTCGAATTTCGAGTAGTAATGCATATCTAAAACGTTACTGATCTCGATTTCTATTAGATTCTTGTACGTTTGTTTCAAATGTATGGTAACGTTTCGGTAAGGAACCTCCCTGTAGCAAATAGCGCATTCCAACGAATTGTCGTCAGTTAAAATCCATCCAGGGGGATGATCATAATCTAATGCTCCGTATAATTTAGAAAAGTTCACGTTTGATTTCCATTCTGTGTATTCAGGAATCCGTTTTGAAGATGACCATTGGAGCGTGCCGTTAATTTGTTCAATTCCAATCCAACACGGAGACTTGTTGGTTAAAAACTTTTCGATGAGGCGAGTTTGAAAAAGATCAGGTTCTGCAAAATTCCTACAGAATGCGTTTCTAGCGAGACTCAATCCGGTCGTAGTTGCCTGACAGTAGCATCTGTTATCCATGGCAAAACTTGTACTAATACAATTGAAATTACTCCGCCTTGAGCAATAATTTGTCATGGATTCACTGTCATAACTGTAAATACACAGAACGCGATGCTCTTCCTTGCAGGAAACGGCAAATAGCGTGCAATTCAGTGTGATCATGCAGTTTTTATCTGCAACTGTGGTATTAGGTCTGAGGTAATATTTAAGAGTACTCGAATAATAAGGCGAGAATGCGAACCATTCAAATTCCCCAAACTGGTTGTCCAGATTTCTTTCGGCTTTTATCCATATCGATTCGTTTTTGAATAGTCGATAAATCTTCTTGTAAAAATCTTCTCTGTAATTAATGTAAGGACATTTTGGGGGAAACCTTTGTTTCTCAGTTAGCATGTAACAGAACGGTGTGCCCAGCACGTCTTCGAATAAACTGAAACCATTCGGACATTTTATGTCTGCATCCAACTTTGGTGGCTTTGTTAAATTAGGAAACGATGGTTCTGCACAGTCGTCATATAGACTCTTGAATGAATCATCTGAAACAAACAAAGATAGATCAATAGATTGATACATCAAACCTTCGATTATTGAGTAAGTTACAGAACATTGCCAAACCATTGTTTAAATATTAAGCAATCGCCAAACTATTAAGAGCGACTGCCTTCCGTCGTAGAATTTCTGACACCTTTAACTTGTTCTGGTCGCGTGTTTTGGCATTTTGTTAACGAACTGTAAATCTAGGATTGTGAGGAAACACTATTGCAAAACGTCTATTACAACAAAGCATTTAACGTGTCGAAGTTCACTTACTTTTGACTTTTGATGTATTGTTACATTGTTAAAGGAAATATTTAAAAAATTACAATCTTAGAATTTTCTTTTCTCTCTCAATCAAGGAAAAAACTAGGGAATTTCAGAAATTTGGTGATTTTTTACATACATACCTCACTAGGCTATTTAAAAAATTGGAGGTTATAACTGTCACCCGAAGGGTTTGAAATTTCGCAATTGTAATTAGGGTTTTAGAGGTCCCTCACAAAGTTGTAGAGTTCTTGATAAATCTTAGACAGGTATGGTAATTAAGTCATAAAAAAATGAATTTTTAAGATATGGGGGTTCACGTAGGACCTATTCGGTAATAGGTAAAAAGTACAAAGATTATCAATAGTTCTAAAGTTCTGGATAAGTCGTTAAAGCAGTCTTGCGATCAGTGCAAAACGTTCTGAAATAAAAACTCCTAATATTGACTATAGTTTACCAAATACAGGGTCGCTGATAAGTCTGAAAACGGTCGATTATCGGGAAAAGCATAGGTACAAGGTATCGAAAATAGTTTTATATAATAGCTTTAGGGTTCCTCAATGTCTACTACCCAGTAATAATTTCAACTATACATTTTTGGTCATACAGGCGTGGCAAACCAAAATTGCATTTTTTACCTTATACATTAGATATTCTATATTTCAATTCTTTTCTGAATTTTAAGCAAAATTTGCGAGAAGCATAATGTACCTAAATTCAATAGTTTCCAGGTAATCGGGTTTTGAGAATAAACGCTATTATTTTAAATTAATGTCCACACAATCATAACAAACCGCAGAGACGGTTCTTATTAGAACCACAGAATGTTGTCAAAAGAAATTCGTGATCTCATTAATTGTTGTTCTTCATGCAACAAATTCTTCAAGCAAACGTCTATACTTTGAAAACTCGATAACACCGAAACGATTGAATTTAGATACGAGTACATTATGCTTCTTACAAATTTTGCTGAAAATTGAGAGAAGAATTGAAATAGCGAATAATGTACAGCGTGTTCCATTTCAAAAAATGCAATTGAGGTGTCTCTAGTAGACATTGAAGAACCCTAAAACTAACTTTCGATACATTCTATATTTTCCCCGATCATTGACCGTTTCCACCTCTGAGGTTTCCACACTTATCAGAGACCCTGGATACATTTTATAGCAAAATCCTGTATGATTTCAATGTTACGGTGGCACTGGTGGAATTTGTTATACTACCTATTTCAAACAGATTGTGAATAAAATAGTATCAAACCTCGATGGTCAGTGGTTCATAACCAACGCCTCCCGCTTATACCTCACCTCCCCCCACCGCGCTTCGCTGTACCTTAAGCCCTCAGCGTAGGTAATGAACATGAATTACTTCCCAGGTCGGTATGTAATCTACTATAACATTTTTTATACAAATTTTAAAGTTGTGGCCCTTCACTGGCACCGAAACTTTTTGTGACTCTAAAATATAAACAACGGTTTATTATCTTTAGTAATTCACGCGGTTTTAGAGATATTTTTATAAGAAATATAGTTAGAAGATTTTGTGGTAAAATTTTGGAGATATGGTTACCGTTCCGGATCATTTAGTTGCTTAATAAGCACTTCATCCTTATTAAGTACAGCGCTGTGTACTGCACAAAACTCTGTTGTAGTTTAAGAGACATAATTCTACTTTTAGCTTAACTTATAGTAATAAGGAACTTACCATATTGAGCGATGGGATATTCTTCTGATACAGACATTACATCATCGTCACTGTTCTGAAAAAGAGGTTAAAATAGAGACGTTGCGCCAATAGGACTCACCTTTTCATCATCTCTTTGCACTTCACTTTTCAAATTCTCGGCAATTAGTATACTCACAACTGCTACAATGATAAATATGGAACCTATAAGTAATTGAACTAAGAAACAATTTTATCAAGTTATTGTTGTTACCAGTCATTCTACTTATATGCTTTCGTTTTTTTTATAAAAGCGCAGTAATAAGTGAAATGTTTGAGCAATGCGAAATAGGCTTAACTGATTCTGTTTGTACATACAGATTGAGATTAATTATATCTTGCATGGAAAATATGACAAATATTTGGGGATTAATAGAAATATATCAGAATTGTTTAGAAATCGGATTAAATACTGTTTATTCAATAAAGTCGAACGGCGCCGATTCTCAATTAAAAATTTCTCTCTGAGGATTCATAGATTATTATAACAGTTCTGTATTATGTGTTAATGAAAAAGTAAGTAAATATATTGCTTTGACAATTTGTCTGTTAAGAACACTTTTTTTTAAATTTTATGGTCTCTAAGTTAAGTACATAGTAGATACATTTGGGTAGTACACACATTTATGACGAAATAAACGGTGTTGTAATAGATACTTTCATTCTTGGATCTAGGTCAAGATACAGATACAACTTAATAATTGTAATTAGATACCAAAACAGATACCCAAAAACAAAAAGGATCTAGATACAGATACAGATACTTCATAGATATAGTCCAGGAAATAGAGACTGAAAATGGACCATTTCCTGCAAAACGAGAAGTAGTTCCAATTTTTTTTGCATGTCATGAAAGAATATCTGGTGGTTAAGAATCCAAGTTTTCGACCTCCCACACCTTGTGCTTCCCCCGTGCCACCCTTAAAACCAAAGAAATTTGGTTGGTTTTTTAGTTTTTCAATCATATCTTTTTATAGGTTCATTTTACAAAAAAATATTGTTATCAGAAATTGTAGACTATAAAATTCTACACAACTTTGATATACACTACTTTTTTGTGAAATGTTTATTAAAAACGATATAGAGCATCAGAGTAGCTTATATTTTTAAGAATTTTAAAATTTGTATGT